CTTTCCATTCTTGTGATACTTTACTAAGAAGAATGTATTTCAACTCCATCCAGGTAAATGTAAAAGATGTAAAGTCTCCATCTTCTTCAATAGCTGAATGATATTCCATGGTTTACATATACCACCATATGTTGATCCATTCATGGGTTGATGGGCACTTAAGTTGCTTCCACGACTTGGCAATTATGAATTGAGCCGCGATAAACATTCTAGTGCAAATGTCTTTATGGTGAAATGATTTATGTTCTTCTGGGTAGATACCTAGTAATGGGATTGCAAGATCAAATGGAAGGTCTACATTTAGATTTTTGAGGATTTGCCATACTTCTGTACAAAAGGGCTATATTAGTTTGTAATCCCACCAGTAGTGTACAGGTGTTCCCTTCTCTCCACATCCACACCAGCATCTGGTGTTTTATAACTTTGAAATGTGGGCTAATCTTGCTGGGGTTAGGTGATATCTTAGAGTGGTTTTGATTTGCATTTCTCTGTTGATTAAAGACGATGAGCATTTTTTCATGTGTTTCTTGGCCATTTGTCTGTCATTCTCAGAGAAGTTTCTGTTCAAATCACTTGCCTACCTCTTCAGAGGGTTGTTTGCACTTTTCTTACTATTTGAGTTCTCTGTAGATTCTAGTTATCAGGCCTTTGCCAGATTCATAAAATACAAAAATCTTCTCCCATTCTGAGGGCTGTTTTCTTTGTTTGTGGTACTCTTAGCTATGCAAAACTTTTTAGCTTGATCAAGTCCCAGTTATTTATTTTTGGTGTTGCTATAATTGCTGGGGGGAGGGGCCTTCCCCATAAAGTGTATTCCCAGGCCAATATCTTCAAGTATTTTCCCCATACTCTCTTCTAGAATTTTTATTGTCTCGTGTCTTAAATTTAAATCTTTTATTCAACAAGAATCAGTTTTTGTCAATGGTGAGAGGTGTCGGTCCAGTTTCAGTCTTCTGCATGTGGATAACCAGTTCTCCCAGTATCATTTGAAATAAGGATTCTTTTCCCCATTGCATGTTTTTGTTAGGCTTATTAATGATTGAATGACAGTATGTGGCTGTGTTCATCTCTAGATTCTCTATTCTATTCCATAGATCTGTGTCTCTATTTTTGTGCCAGTACCATGCTGTTTTGATCACTATAGCCTTGTAATATATAACCTGAAGTCTTGCAACATGATGCCTCCAGAATT